CTAGTCTATAGTCTAGTCTATAGTCTAGTCTATAGTCTAGTCTATAGTCTAGTCTATAGTCTAGTCTATAGTCTAGTCTATAGTCTAGTCTATAGTCTAGTCTATAGTCTAGTCTATAGTCTAGTCTATAGTCTAGTCTATAGTCTAGTCTATAGTCTAGTCTATAGTCTAGTCTATAGTCTAGTCTATAGTCTAGTCTATAGTCTAGTCTCTAGTCTAGTCTATAGTCTAGTCTAGTCTAGTCTATAGTCTAGTCTATAGTCTAGTCTATAGTCTAGTCTATAGTCTAGTCTATAGTCTAGTCTATAGTCTAGTCTATAGTCTAGTCTATAGTCTAGTCTATAGTCTAGTCTATAGTCTAGTCTATAGTCTAGTCTATAGTCTAGTCTATAGTCTAGTCTATAGTCTAGTCTATAGTCTAGTCTATAGTCTAGTCTATAGTCTAGTCTATAGTCTAGTCTATAGTCTAGTCTATAGTCTAGTCTATAGTCTAGTCTATAGTCTAGTCTATAGTCTAGTCTATAGTCTAGTCTATAGTCTAGTCTATAGTCTAGTCTATAGTCTTGTCTATAGTCTAGTCTATAGTCTAGTCTATAGTCTAGTCTATAGTCTAGTCTATAGTCTAGTCTATAGTCTAGTCTATAGTCTAGTCTATAGTCTAGTCTCTAGTCTAGTCTATAGTCTAGTCTATAGTCTAGTCTATAGTCTAGTCTATAGTCTAGTCTATAGTCTAGTCTATAGTCTAGTCTATAGTCTAGTCTATAGTCTAGTCTATAGTCTAGTCTATAGTCTAGTCTATAGTCTAGTCTATAGTCTAGTCTATAGTCTAGTCTATAGTCTAGTCTATAGTCTAGTCTATAGTCTAGTCTATAGTCTAGTCTATAGTCTAGTCTATAGTCTAGTCTATAGTCTAGTCTATAGTCTAGTCTATAGTCTAGTCTATAGTCTAGTCTATAGTCTAGTCTATAGTCTAGTCTATAGTCTAGTCTATAGTCTAGTCTATAGTCTAGTCTATAGTCTGGTCTATAGTCTACTCTTGTCTATTAATACTGCAACTTCTCGGCCCTTATTTGCTCCCTTTTTTGAAAAAAACTCTTTTTCATTTTATACATTTAATTCATAAATTCATTATTACTTTTTTATTAAATCGACTTTCATGTTTTTTAATTTTCCTTTTTTTTATTTAAATGCTAATAATATTTGACAAATATCGAGTTTGTTTTGTGTAAGTGTATGTGGTTTATATATTTTTTTTTAGTTTTTTTTTTGCTGTTTAAACAGCATTTATGTTCAGATTTTTTTTTATTTTAAAGATTTTACAATTAAATTTTATTAATTAGTTTTTAGTTTGTTTTAGACAAATTTTTTTTTATTAGTTTTTTTTAAATTTTACGAATTTAAAATACAATAACTTGTGTTGTGTTTATATGTATGTGTGTGTTGTAAGTGGCATATTTTCAATATTATTTTGATTATTTCATAAATATTTATGTTTTTTTTTTTTTGTTATTTATTTAGTTAATTTAGTTTAGGACTATTTTAAAAATTAAGGTAAATTCTAAAAAGTTGTTTTTTAGTTTTTTTTTAATTTATTTTTTTTTTGGTTTTTATTAAATAGAGAACATTTTTTTTGTATTAATGCTAATAATTTTTTTTTTTTTTTTTGTTTTATAAAAAAGACAAAAAATTGTTGTGAAATAATTTGTAAAATTTTAATATTTATAAACTTATAAAGGTAAAACTAAACAAAAAATAATACTTTAAATAATTCTTCAAATAATTGTGTAAAAATTAAACCAATTTTAAAGCCTGTATTTTTATATAGAGATCTTTCCTGTAGTCTACGACATTCCCTTCAATGAAAATTTGCCCTAAAAAGTTCTTTTCTTAAAAATTAATAGTATTTAAAGGCAATTTAATACAACACGATGGTGTTGAACTTAGAAACTGAACTAATACTGAACTACAAACTGACCTAAAAACTGAACTTAAAACTGAACTGAGAACTAATGAACTCGAACTGAACTAGAAACTGAACTAGAACTGAACTAGAACTGAACTAGAACTGAAACTAGAACTGAACTAGAACTGAACTAGAACTGAACTAGAACTGAACTAGAACTGAACTTAGAACTGAACTAGAACTGAACTAGAACTGAAGAACTGAACTAGAACTGAACTAGAACTGAACTAGAACTGAACTAGAACTGAACTAGAACTGAACTAGAACTGAACTAGAACTGAACTAGAACTGAACTAGAACTGAACTAGAACTGAACTAGAACTGAACTAGAACTGAACTAGAACTGAACTAGAACTGAACTAGAACTGAACTAGAACTGAACTAGAACTGAACTAGAACTGAACTAGAACTGAACTAGAACTGAACTAGAACTGAACTAGAACTGAACTAGAACTGAACTAGAACTGAACTAGAACTGAACTAGAACTGAACTAGAACTGAACTAGAACTGAACTAGAACTGAACTAGAACTGAACTAGAACTGAACTAGAACTGAACTAGAACTGAACTAGAACTGAACTAGAACTGAACTAGAACTGAACTAGAACTGAACTAGAACTGAACTAGAACTGAACTAGAACTGAACTAGAACTGAACTAGAACTGAACTAGAACTGAACTAGAACTGAACTAGAACTGAACTAGAACTGAACTAGAACTGAACTAGAACTGAACTAGAACTGAACTAGAACTGAACTAGAACTGAACTAGAACTGAACTAGAACTGAACTAGAACTGAACTAGAACTGAACTAGAACTGAACTAGAACTGAACTAGAACTGAACTAGAACTGAACTAGAACTGAACTAGAACTGAACTAGAACTGAACTAGAACTGAACTAGAACTGAACTAGAACTGAACTAGAACTGAACTAGAACTGAACTAGAACTGAACTAGAACTGAACTAGAACTGAACTAGAACTGAACTAGAACTGAACTAGAACTGAACTAGAACTGAACTAGAACTGAACTAGAACTGAACTAGAACTGAACTAGAACTGAACTAGAACTGAACTAGAACTGAACTAGAACTGAACTAGAACTGAACTAGAACTGAACTAGAACTGAACTAGAACTGAACTAGAACTGAACTAGAACTGAACTAGAACTGAACTAGAAACTGAACTAGAACTGAACTAGAACTGAACTAGAACTGAACTAGAACTGAACTAGAACGGAACTAGAACTGAACTAGAACTGAACTAGAACTGAACTAGAACTGAACTAGAACTGAACTAGAACTGAACTAGAACTGAACTAGAACTGAACTAGAACTGAACTAGAACTGAACTAGAACTGAACTAGAACTGAACTAAACTGAACTAGAACTAGAACTGAACTAGAACTGAACTAGAACTGAACTAGAACTGAACTAGAACTGAACTAGAACTGAACTAGAACTGAACTAGAAAACTGAACTAGAACTGAACTTGAACTGAACTAGAACTGAACTAGAACTGAACTAGAACTGAACTAGAACTGAACTAGAACTGAACTAGAACTGAACTAGAACTGAACTAGAACTGAACTAGAACTGAACTAGAACTGAACTAGAACTGAACTAGAACTGAACTAGAACTGAACTAGAACTGAACTAGAACTGAACTAGAACTGAACTAGAACTGAACTAGAACTGAACTAGAACTGAACTAGAACTGAACTAGAACTGAACTAGCAAATAGTAAAAAAAGTAAAAAGTACCAATAAGAGTACTTTTTACAAAAGTACTTTTTTTCAATAAATATTTTTTTCAGCCTTTTTTTGTATTTTGTAAAGATATTTTTTTGTTACTTTTTCAAAAAAGTACTTTTAGGTACTTTTTGTAAAAAGTACTTTTTTGAATAACATAAATTTTTTTAAATTATTATTTGCTTTTTTGAGCTATATTTATAAAAATTTTGAAAAATAGGATGAAAATTATATAAATTTTTTTAAAATTTAAAAATTTTAACTTTTTGATTTATTAATTTAATTTTACACCAAATTATTTAAAACTTATAAATTGTCTGTTAAAAAGAAAATTAAAAATTTAAACAATAATTAGCTTTCTGTTTAAAAAAAAACATATTTTTTTTATAACTATAATGTTTTTTGTCATATTTTTTATAAATTTTTTGTTTATATCACCCTGTGTTGTAGTATTTTTTTAAATTTATTTTAAATTTGTTTTTTGTCTTTTTTTTTGTAATTTTTTTTATTAAAAATTATAAATCTTTTCACGCTTAAACATTTACAACAGTACATTTTGTTTTTATTTTTTTTTTTTATAATATAAAAGGGACTTAACTTAACACTTAATTTAGAGAAAATTTTATAAAAAAAAAATTATTAAAAATAAAAACAAAAACTCAAATAAAACAAAATTAATTCATAAAAAAAATTATTATATATATAATTTTTTTGTTATTTCTGTAAGGATTATGCTTGATTATTAACACTATTGTTTTTGTAATTGGTTTTTTGTGTGTAGTTGTTGGTATTATTGTTGTTATTTTTTTCTGATTGATAAATACTGTTAAGAATAAACTTGTAGTGGATTATTTAAATATTTTTTTTAAATTGTTTTTGTTTTTGGCTGTTTAAATATTTTTTTATAAAGTTTTTTACTATTTCTTCTGTTTGCATTTGGATTTTTATTATGTTATTGTTTAAATACGAGTAAAAACTATAAATTAAAAAATCAAAACAATAATGTTATATTAGCGCTTTTTTAAACGCCAAAACTTTAACAACTGAAAATGTTTAAATATTGACTATTATTTTTTTTAAATATTATTTAAACTAAAAAAATTTAAATTAACTCGTATTTGACTATTTCTGTTTATATTTCGTTAAGTTTTTTCTCAGCTTTATAGTATAATAGGAACCATCCTAATGTTTTTTTTTTTTTTTTGCAAAAAAAAAAAACAAAGATATTTTATGTTTTTTCATTTTCAAACTTAAACTATTTCAAAACAAAAAATATAAAAAAACACATTAAAAATCATAATGTCTATTCATGAGCCACATCTCCTCCATCCACTTGGATAAAACCCACACTTACTGTTGCTGCACCAGCAATTGCTCTACTTGATCTGCTGTGCGCAGCAGGAAAGCAGCACTTTCTCGATAGGCAGAAATCACTTGACGCGCAGCCGTTATCTCATTGGGACTCAGTTTGTGTGGCAACAAGGGTGGTGCTCGGACAGCATTTAAATCCATGTTATTGTTACTTAAATTTCCTAAAATCGGTTGTTGTTGCTGCTGCTGTTGTTGTTGTTGCTGTTGTTGTTGCTGCTGCTGTTGTTGCTGCTGTTGTTGCTGTTGCTGCTGCTGTTGGGCCTGTTGCAATTGCTGCAGCTGTTGGGTGGCTGTGGCCAGTACATTAGTATTGTTCACATTGCCATTGTTTAGATTTGTATTGACATTTAGTTGGTTAAGGGCTGCCAGGGTATTTATATTGTTGCCATTATTGGTGTTCGTATTCATAGTGCTGACGGTGGTTGAGGTGATGGGTGTGTTGATGGTGGAGGAGGAAGGCTTCATGGAAAGGTCGGTAGGTGTAACTGCAAGGAAAAGGACACAAAATTAGATACTAAATCGAAAAAGTTCCATTCTTGTTCTGTTCTAGTTCTGTTCTAGTTCTGTTCTAGTTCTGTTCTAGTTCTGTTCTAGTTCTGTTCTAGTTCTGTTCTAGTTCTGTTCTGTTCTGTTCTAGTTCTGTTCTAGTTCTGTTCTGTTCTAGTTGTGTTCTGTTCTGTTCTGTTCTAGTTCTGTTCTGTTCTAGTTCTGTTCTGTTCTAGTTCTGTTCTAGTTCTGTTCTAGTTCTGTTCTAGTTCTGTTCTAGTTCTGTTCTAGTTCTGTTCTAGTTCTGTTCTAGTTCTGTTCTAGTTCTGTTCTAGTTCTGTTCTAGTTCTGTTCTAGTTCTGTTCTAGTTCTGTTCTAGTTCTGTTCTAGTTCTGTTCTAGTTCTGTTCTAGTTCTGTTCTAGTTCTGTTCTAGTTCTGTTCTAGTTCTGTTCTAGTTCTGTTCTAGTTCTTTTCTAGTTCTGTTAGTTCTGTTCTAGTTCTGTTCTAGTTCTGTTCTAGTTCTGTTCCAGTTCTGTTCTAGTTCTGTTCTAGTTCTGTTCTAGTTCTGTTCTAGTTCTGTTCTAGTTCTGTTCTAGTTCTGTTCTAGTTCTGTTCTAGTTCTGTTCTAGTTCTGTTCTAGTTCTGTTCTAGTTCTGTTCTAGTTCTGTTCTAGTTCTGTTCTAGTTCTGTTCTAGTTCTGTTCTAGTTATGTTCTAGTTTCTGTTCAGTTCTGTTCTAGTCTGTTCTAGTTCTGTTCTAGTTCTGTTCTAGTTCTGTTCTAGTTCTGTTCTAGTTCTGTTCTAGTTCTGTTCTAGTTTGTTCTAGTTCTGTTCTAGTTCTGTTTCTAGTTCTGTTCTAGTTCTGTTCTAGTTCTGTTCTAGTTCTGTTCTAGTTCTGTTCTAGTTCTGTTCTAGTTCGTTTCTAGTTCTGTTCTAGTCTGTTCTAGTTCTGTTCTAGTTCTGTTCTAGTTCTGTTCTAGTTCTGTTCTAGTTCTGTTCTAGTTCTGTTCTAGTTCTGTTCTAGTTCTGTTCGTTATGTTCAGTTCTGTTCTAGTTCTGTTCTAGTTCTGTTCTAGTTCTGTTCTAGTTCTGTTCTAGTTCTGTTCTAGTTCTGTTCTAGTTCTGTTCTAGTTCTGTTCTAGTCTGTTCTAGTTCTGTTCTAGTTCTGTTCTAGTTCTGTTCTAGTTCTGTTCTAGTTGTTCTAGTTCTGTTCTAGTTCTGTTCTAGTTCTGTTCTAGTTCTGTTCTAGTTCTGTTCTAGTTCTGTTCTAGTTCTGTTCTAGTTCTGTTCTAGTTCTGTTCTAGTTCGTTCTATGTTCTAGTTGTCTAGTTTGTTCTAGTTCTGTTTCTAGTTCTGTTCTAGTTCTGTTCTAGTTCTGTTCTAGTTCTGTTCTAGTTCGTTCTAGTTCTGTTCTAGTTCTGTTTAGTTCTGTTCTAGTTCTGTTCTAGTTCTGTTCTAGTTCTGTTCTAGTTGTTCTAGTTATGTTCTAGTTCTGTTCTAGTTCTGTTCTAGTTCTGTTCTAGTTCTGTTCTAGTTCTGTTTCTAGTTCTGTTCTAGTTCTGTTCTAGTTCTGTTCTAGTTCTGTTCTAGTTCTGTTCTAGTTCTGTTCTAGTTCTGTTCTAGTTCTTTCTAGTTCTGTTCTAGTTCTGTTCTAGTTCTGTTCTAGTTTTTCTGTTCTGTTCAGTTCTGTTCTAGTTCTGTTCTAGTTCTGTTCTAGTTCTGTTCTAGTTCTGTTCTAGTTCTGTTCTAGTTCTGTTCTAGTCTGTTCTAGTTCTTTCTAGTTCTGTTCTAGTTCTGTTCTAGTTCTGTTCTAGTTCTGTTCTAGTTCTGTTCTAGTTCTGTTCTAGTTCTGTTCTAGTTCTGTTCTAGTTCTGTTCTAGTTCTGTTCTAGTTCTGTTTAGTTCTGTTCTAGTTCTGTTCTAGTTCTGTTCTAGTTCTGTTCTAGTTCTGTTCTAGTTCTGTTCTAGTTCTGTTCTAGTTCTGTTCTAGTTCTGTTCTAGTTCTGTTCTAGTTCTGTTCTAGTTCTGTTCTAGTTCTGTTCTAGTTCTGTTCTAGTTCTGTTAGTTCTAGTTCTGTTCTAGTTCTGTTCTAGTTCTGTTCTAGTTCTGTTCTAGTTCGTTCTAGTTCTGTTCTAGTTCTGTTCTAGTTCTGTTCTAGTTCTGTTCTAGTTCTGTTCTAGTTCTGTTCTAGTTCTGTTCTAGTTCTGTTCTAGTTCCTGTAGTTCTCTTCTAGTTCTGTTTTAGTTCTGTTCTAGTTCTGTGTTTTTTGCACTTACCATTTCCTAAAGTGCCAACACCCGGAAAATAGGCTGGATATGTTGGCGTACGACCCGCCACTGCAGCCGCCGCAGCTGCGACAAATGGTGAGGCGCCACTGGGTGATGTAAAATCTGTTGGTCTATAGAGAGGACTTGTTGCCGGCCATACCAGTTAGACCAGTAGCCGTGCCATTAGCGCCACTGTTACCATTGGCTAAAGTCGTTGCCAATGGTTTTAATTTCCATGCCCGAAGCACTGGCATTTGAACTTAAAGCTAAAGGAGAACTACGATTTGAATTGATTGCCACCACTGCCGACACTAGAGGAAGCAGCCACTGCAGCGGCGGCAGCAGCAGCAACCGCAGCAAGCCGGGTCAGAGACAAAGGTTCAGCTGTATCTGAATTGGGGGTTAGAACGAGCAAAGCCCGTGCCGGTGGCCAAAAGGTTAAAGCAGCTGAAGTGGCGGCATTTGAACCATCATTGGCAGAGGCTGAAGTAACGGTGGACGAAGTGCTGGCACCTCCAATAGAGGCTGCTGAGCTAGTGGTGGCCGCTACAGCGGCAGCTGCTGCAGCAGCAGCGGCGGGCGGCAGCAGCTACTGCAGAACCGGGAGCGGGTATGGCATGAGTAATGGGCCTCTAAACCAATGCGCATGCGTTTGGCATTAAGGGATTCGTTTTCACAAGCAATGGCTAGGATTTGTTTCGGCTTGTACGGAAGTTAGATGGGCTGGTGTGGGGCGGGTCTGTGGAAGGATAATACTACAATTAATTAGCTGACATTTAGAGTGAATAGAATTTCCGAACTCACCGTATTCTCCCAACCATCTCTGGTTTTCTTATTACGCCGGCAAGACTTTAAATATGTGCGTATACGTTTGCGTGAACGATCACTAAATTCGGGAAATTGACGGGCGCATGAATCAATAATGGCTTGGATTTTTTCTTTAGGCTGTTTAGAGATGGGTACAATGCGATCTAGATTTTCGTCCACAAATAAACGTACAAACATCTAAAGGAAACACATTCGATTACGAACATTCTTCAAATCTACATTAAAATATTAAGACTTACATTAAAAGCCTTTAATCTTTCTGGATCATGTGACTGTGCAAATTTTTATCTATTTTGTCATCCGAGTCATCTTCCGAACCCTCATCCTCCTCCTTTTGACCCGATGAGTTAGTCTCATCTTGTGTTTCCATGGGTGAGGGATTTGTTTCTCTGGGCAACAGGTGACAGCGAAGCATCAAGTTTATTACCCGATGCAGCTGCTGCACTTTGTGCTAAAGCATTTTTTTGATATTGCGCCCATAGACCACCTACAACTGCCAAATCGGGTCCTTCAGTGCCATTGCGTACCGCATTGGAGTTCTGATAATTCCAGGCCAGTAGCATGAGTTTTAGTTTGTCGGCATCTTTTCATGAGACCAGCATAGGCATCGCCCTCCGTGTTGGTATCGGAAGAGTTGGTGGTTTCACTCGGCGTTGGTATGGTTGGTGGTATGATTTCCTAAAATGACAAGAATGACAGTGGAAGGATTAGAATATTGTTTTTAAATTAAAATAACGTAAAACATTTGCAAAAGTATTAAAATTTGCAGATTATGGGGCTAGTTCAGTTCAAGTTCAGTTCTAGTTCAGTTCTAATTCAGTTCTAGTTTAGTTCTAGTTCAGTTCTAGTTCAGTTCTAGTTCAGTTCTAGTCTCAGTTCTAGTTCAGTTCTAGTTCGGTTCTAGTTCATTTCTAGTTCAGTTCTAGTTCAGTTCTAGTTCAGTTCTAGTTAAGTTCTAGTTCAGTTCTAGTTCAGTTCTAGTTCAGTTCTAGTTCAGTTCTAGTTCAGTTCTAGTTCAGTTCTAGTTCAGTTCTAGTTCAGTTCTAGTTCAGTTCTAGTCAGTTCTAGTTCAGTTCTAGTACAGTTCTAGTACAGTTCTAGTTCAGTTCTAGTTCAGTTCTAGTTCAGTCTAGTTCAGTTCTAGTTCAGTTCTAGTTCAGTTCTAGTTCAGTTCTAGTTCAGTTCTAGTTCAGTTCTAGTTCAGTTTCTAGTTCGATTCTAGTTCAGTTCTAGTTCAGTTCTAGTTCAGATCTAGTTCAGTTCTAGTTTCAGTTCTAGTTCAGTTCTAGTTCAGTTTCTAGTTCAGTTCTAGTTCAGTTCTAATTCAGTTCTAATTCAGTTCTAGTTCAGTTCTAGTTCAGTTCTAGTTCTGTTCTAGTTCAGTTCTAGTTCAGTTCTAGTTCAGTTCTAGTTCAGTTCTAGTTCAGTTCTAGTTCAGTTCTAGTCGGTTCTAGTCAGTTCTAGTTCAGTTCTAGTTCCGTTCTAGTTCAGTTCTAGTTCAGTTCTAGTTCAGTTCTAGTTCAGTTCTAGTCAGTTCTAGTTCAGTTCTAGTTCAGTTCTAGTTCAGTTCTAGTTCAGTTCTAGTTCAGTTCTAGTTCAGTTCTAGTTCAGTTCTACTTCAGTTCTAGTTCAGTTCTAGTTCAGTTCTAGTTCAGTTTAGTTCAGTTCTAGTTCAGTTCTAGTTCAGTTCTAGTTCAGTTCTAGTTCAGTTCTAGTTCAGTTCTAGTTCAGTTCTAGTTCAGTTATAGTTTAGTTCTAGTTCAGTTCTAGTTCAGTTCTAGTTCAGTTCTAGTTCAGTTCTAGTTCAGTTATAGTTCAGTTCTAGTTCAGTTCTAGTTCAGTTCTAGTTCAGTTCTAGTTCAGTTCTAGTTCAGTTCTAGTTCAGTTCTAGTTCAGTTAGTTCAGTTCTAGTTCATTCTAGTTCAGTTTCTAGTTCAGTTCTAGTACAGTTCTAGTACAGTTCTAGTTCAGTTCTAGTTCAGTTCTAGTTCAGTTCTAGTTCAGTTCTAGTTCAGTTCTAGTTCAGTTCTAGTTCAGTTCTAGTTCAGTTCTAGTTCAGTTCTAGTTCAGTTCTAGTTCAGTTCTAGTTCAGTTTTAGTTCAGTTCTAGTTCAGTTCTAGTTCAGTTCTAGTTCAGTTCTAGTTCAGTTCTAGTTCAGTTCTAGTTCAGTTCTAGTTCAGTTCTAGTTCAGTTCTAGTTCAGTTCTAGTTCAGTTCTAGTTCAGTTCTAGTTCAGTTCTAGTTCAGTTCTAGTTCAGTTCTAGTTCAGTTCTAGTTCAGTTCTAGTTCAGTTCTAGTTCAGTTCTAGTTCAGTTCTAGTTCAGTTCTAGTTCAGTTCTAGTTCAGTTCTAGTTCAGTTCTAGTTCAGTTCTAGTTCAGTTCTAGTTCAGTTCTAGTACAGTTCTAGTACAGTTCTAGTTCAGTTCTAGTTCAGTTCTAGTTCAGTTCTAGTTCAGTTCTAGTTCAGTTCTAGTTCAGTTCTAGTTCAGTTCTAGTTCAGTTTCTAGTTCAGTTCTAGTTCAGTTCTAGTTCAGTTCTAGTTCAGTTCTAGTTCAGTTCTAGTTCAGTTCTAGTCAGTTAGTTCAGTTCTAGTTCAGTTCTAGTTCAGTTCTAGTTCAGTTCTAGTTCAGTTCTAGTTCAGTTCTAGTTCAGTTCTAGTTCAGTTCTAGTTCAGTTCTAGTTCAGTTTTCTAGTTCAGTTCTAGTTCAGTTCTAGTTCAGTTCTAGTTCAGTTCTAGTACAGTTCTAGTACAGTTCTAGTACAGTTCTAGTTCAGTTCTAGTTCAGTTCTAGTTCAGTTCTAGTTCAGTTCTAGTTCAGTTCTAGTTCAGTTCTAGTTCAGTTCTAGTTCAGTTCTAGTTCAGTTCTAGTTCAGTTCTAGTTCAGTTCTAGTTCAGTTCAAGTTCAGTTCAAGTTCCGTTCTAGTTCTAATTCAGTTCTAATTCAGTTCTAGTTTGGTTCTAGTTCAGTTCTAGTTCAGTTCTAGTCTCAGTTCTAGTTCAGTTCTAGTTCAGTTCTAGTTCAGTTCTAGTTCAGTTCTAGTTCAGTTCTAGTTCAGTTCTAGTTCAGTTCTAGTTCAGTTCTAGTTCAGTTCTAGTTCAGTTCTAGTTCAGTTCTAGTTCAGTTCTAGTTCAGTTCTAGTTCAGTTCTAGTTCAGTTCTAGTTCAGTTCTAGTTCAGTTCTAGTTCAGTTCTAGTTCAGTTCTAGTTCAGTTCTAGTTCAGTTCTAGTTCAGTTCTAGTTTCAGTTCTAGTTCAGTTCTAGTTCAGTTCTAGTTCAGTTCTAGTTCAGTTCTAGTTCAGTTCTAGTTCAGTTCTAGTTCAGTTCTAGTTCAGTTCTAGTTCAGTTCTAGTTCAGTTCTAGTTCAGTTCTAGTTCAGTTCCAGACCTGGGATAAATGCATTAAATGTGTTAATGCATTAACAATTTTTTCTACATTAAAAAAAATTAATTTTAATGCAAGTTTATTGCATTAACATTAACATGGGTACATTTAATGCATTAAATTTGCATTAACATTAAATATTTTTAAATTTAATGCATTAATTTACATTAACATTAAATATTTGTGAAATTAATGCATTAATTTTGCATTAACATTAAATATCTTTGAATTTAATGCATTAATTTTCCATTAACATTAAATAATAAATAATAAAATTAATGCATTAATTTTCCATTAACATTAATGTATAAAATAATTTATAAAAATAAGAATACAGCGCTAAAGACCTCGGTCTAACTAAATTCAAGTAAAATTGAATGTGTTAAAGTCCTTTCTAATAAGTCCTATACTCGATAATACATGTTAGAAGAATAGTATCACTTCCCAGATATTCCTTTTTTAGTTTATTTTGTTAAAGTCCTTTCTAATAAGTCCTATACTCGATAATACATATTAGAAGAATAGTATCACTTCCCAGATAGTTTATTTTGTCTGTGGAATCTTATATAAATATCATATTTAAAACACACAAGTTTGAATGGAATATAGGAGTTATTAGAAAGGACTTTAACCTATTTAATTTTAGTTGTATTTAGTTAGATCGAGGTCTCTTTTGCTGTATTTTTATTTATGTTTATCAATTTTTATATATATTAAGTTAATGGATATTAATGCATTAATTTTATTGCTTATTAATGTCTAATGTAAAATTAATGCCACTAATTCAGATATATTTAATGTTAATGCAAAATTAATGCATTAATTTCAAAAATATTAATGTTAATGTAAAATTAATGCATTAATTCAAAAATATTTAATGTTAATGGAAATTTAATGCATTAAATTTTACAAATTTAATGTTAATGCAATATTTTTTACATTAAATTAATTTTTTTTTAATTTAATGTTAATGCTAATTAATGGAAATCGCCCAGGTCTGTTCAGTTTCTAGTTCAGTTCTAGTTCAGTTCTAGTTCAGTTCTAGTTCAGTTCTAGTTCAGTTCTAGTTCAGTTCTAGTTCAGTTCTAGTTCAGTCTAGTCGTTCTAGTTCAGTTCTAGTTCAGTTCTAGTTCAGTTCTAGTTCAGTTTAGTTCAGTTCTAGTTCAGTTCTAGTTCAGTTCTAGTTCAGTTAGTTCGTCTAGTTCAGTTTAGTCAGTTCTAGTTCAGTTCTAGTTCAGTCTAGTTCAGTTCTAGTTCAGTTCTAGTTCAGTCTAGTCAGTTCTAGTTCAGTTCTAGTTCAGTTCTAGTTCAGTTCTAGTTCAGTTCTAGTTCAGTTCAAGTTCAGTTCAAGTTCAGTTCTAGTTCTAATTTCAGTTCTAATTCAGTTCTAGTTAGTTCTAGTTTAAGTTCTAGTTCAGTTCTAGTTCAGTTCTAGTTCAGTTCTAGTTCAGTTCTAGTTCAGTTCTAGTTCAGTTCTAGTTCAGTTCTAGTTCAGTTCTAGTTCAGTTCTAGTTCAGTTCTAGTTCAAGTTCTAGTTCAGTTCTAGTTCAGTTCTAGTTCAGTTCTAGTTCAGTTCTAGTTCAGTCTATAGTTCAGTTCTAGTTCAGTTCTAGTTCAGTTCTAGTTCAGTTCTAGTTCAGTTCTAGTTCAGTTCTAGTTTCAGTTCTAGTTCAGTTCTAGTTCAGTTCTAGTTCAGTTCTAGTTCAGTTCTAGTTCAGTTCTAGTTCAGTTCTAGTTCAGTTTCTAGTTCAGTTTCTAGTTCAGTTCTAGTTCAGTTTCTAGTTCAGTTCTAGTTCAGTCTAGTTCAGTTCTAGTTCAGTTTAGTTTCAGTTCTAGTTCAGTTCTAGTTCAGTTCTAGTTCAGTTCTAGTTCAGTTCTAGTTCAGTTCTAGTTCAGCCTTCTAGTTCAGTTCTAGTTCAGTTCTAGTTCAGTTCTAGTTCAGTTCTAGTTCAGTTCTAGTTCAGTTCTAGTTCAGTTCTAGTTCAGTTCTAGTTCAGTTCTAGTCAGTTCTAGTTTAGTTCTAGTTCAGTTCTAGTCAGTTCTAGTTCAGTTCTAGTTCAGTTCTAGTTCAGTTCTAGTTCAGTTCTACTTGAGTTTCAGTTCATATCTATCTTTAGTTCTAGTGTGCAAAAAATTATATATTTTTCTTTACTCATACTTTTCACATTTACTTAAGCTTACTTATCCATCAGCTAAAAACCACAAATCTTAGGAAAAATAAAAAAAGTCTAACTTTGATTTGTAATTGAAAGTATTTGCAAATGAAACAACAAACGCATGACCACCAGCTTTTAAAC